TCCAAAAGAAATACCTCTGAGAAGTTGCGAGTGAAGTAACACGCAAAAGGTATTTCAAAATATAACACCAACATCAAGTGCCAAACATTCCAAACAAACAATGAAACACACCTACAACACAACGTCATCTCAATCCCTGTCTGTCAATGTTGGATACCAATAAATAACAGCACATGGAGAGTATTGGACAAACTGGAATAAATATTGTGCTCCTGTCAAACTGAACTGCGCTTGTTAAATTAAATTCGTCCATTTGTTAATGAAGATACGTAGATATAAGAGAGAATTTAATTAATGCAATTCGATACTTTTAACGCATTATGTGCATTTAAGCGAAAAACTATTGTAGTTTGTATTGTAGATTGACTGCACGGATGGCGTAGTGGTTTAAGCGGTCGCATCGCCGCTTCCTACTACATGGACGACATTTTGTGTGATCCACAAATTGTTGTTCTGAGTCTGGGTGTTCTTTGTGTCCGTTTCATGTATTATTTGTAAAGTCCCCCGCGACACAGGATATATTCCTAATGCGGGAGGAATGTGTGCCACAATAAAAAAGCCGTTCTATATGAACGGCTTTTTTTCATAATTCATAATTTATATTCGATATTCCTAAACAATTCGATATTTATAAACGATTCATAATTTCAATAATTGCGTGATGTAAAATTCTTGGATCTCTCATGGCCTTAGGTTTTATTTTTTTGTTCTTAATTTTAATTCAAAAGATAAAAATATCAGTGAACAGGTTTTATTTTTAAATGTTGATGTCAGGTAAAGGTTTCGCTAGTAAAAAGTGCTAAGTTAGTGCCACTGAAGACTCACAAGTTCGTTTCCGCTCGAAAAGTGCCAAAAGCTTGCCAGGTGAAAAGTGACTACCTAATCAACTGATGGTAAGACACTACCGCCACCGCCCATATACACCTACTAATATTTGTGGCCGTGGTGCTTCCCTGTTTAAAAGGGTGTATGCCCATTTTACTTCATTTTGCCGCTTTGCTAAGGAGGGAAGTGGATTTACTGTATTGCCAACTCCTCCAATTTTCTTCTGATTAATTTCGTTGCGGGTTCCAAGACAGTTTAATTTCTTCCTGGGACTTCCCGAGTGTCATAACTCGGTGTGTTCGTGGGTCACTGCTGTGGATCCTGGTGTACAGGAGTTACAGTGGTGGGCGTGTGGGTGGGATTAGTCCCAATACACCTACTACTCAAGAGACACAACTTGCCGCCCTTTGTTCGATCTATGCTTTTACGATAGTCTCAGTTCACGATTGTAAAGCAGCTTGGGGAATATGCACCCATTTTAATCGACTTAAAAAATACGAGCAGTTCTCAATTCGGCCTTATTTTTTTTTTGTCTTTTTTTATGTTTGTTACTTACCTCAGAACGCCGTCATATATGTACCAAACAACTTTCGCCCGCGGCTCCGCGCGCATTTATGTCCGTTATAGTGGTAAAAAAGTAGCTTTCGAATTTCAAGAATTACGGTAATCAAATTTTTTAAAGCTAATTATTTGTTCTACAAATGACTAGAAGCTATTTTTCTTTGTGTAGTGTCATTTTACAAAAAAAAATTGAGTAGATTTCCAAAAAATAAGGCGCAAAAGAGTCTTTTGGTCTAATCGAATGTAACTACTCAGTACGGGACGGTCACGGTCACACTCTACGATAAATTACAGCTGTCTGAATCATCGATTGACTACCTTCGACCTTGGAGAAGAGTGAAATGACCTGATATGTACCTAGCCCAATCTTAGCAAGACTTAACTAATTGATATTAATATTTGTTAATAATTTATATTCAAATGGGTGAGTTTGCATTGACGAATATGTATTCAATATGCTAATATACTGATCTTTTAGAAGTGCTATCAAAGATACTCAACGAATCCTTAATATTATATTAAACTAGCTTTTGGTCCAGCTTGGCTTGTATTATGTCAGTTATCGCTGTAAAAAATAGCCTATGTCTTTCCTCAAGAATCAAGGTCTTCAATCTTCATACCAAACTTTATCTAAATCGGTTCAGCGGTTATTGATTCCCCATACAAACTTCCACCCCCCTTTTTACCCCTTCAAAGGATGTTTTCTGGGATAAAAACTACCCTATGTCTTTGCCCGGGACTCGGACTCGGATCTCTATGACAAATTTCATGTAAATCTGCGTGAAGAGGTAACAGATAGACAGACAGACAGAAAAAGAGACCCTTTTGTCTGTTCAGAAAGCTTGGTTTGTATATTCACTATCCTAGTGCGAGCCGTCGAGTCCGTGTGGTGACGGATTAAGAATACAAATTGTCACCACCCCAATTCATCCCGTGGGTGTCGTAAGAGCCGACTAAGGGAGCAAACTAAGCAGGACAACAGCACTGCAAAGAGACGGAAAACTTGAAACAAACCCTATACCAACCCGTCTGGCCAGCGTGATATAGTAGGCCAAAACCTCCTTTCTAAGGAGAGGCCTATGTCCAGCAGTGGACTAGTATAGGCTGTTGATGTGATGTGTGCGAGCCGAGCATTTATTAGCTAAAACTCTCTCTACGACCCAAAATCGTTCGCACTACAAATTACACAATCACAGAGCACAAAATTTTTTGCTTTTGTGATATATTTCTATGCCAATCATGAACTCGATAACAATAATAGGTTCGAATAAGCAGTGACAAATCGTGGTAGGAAAAAAACTTGTCTGACAGAATAAAACAAAATGGATGGATTCGACTATAATACTTTTTTTGGTGTTAAGACACGTTTACCTGTTAAATTACTTGGTATAAGGTGATAGGTATAAAGATATTCTACGCCATGACTGACTTATTGCGAATAAACAGTAAAAATAAAACACATTGAATATTTAATTTCTACGCAACAATTTTATTGTTTACGTCGGTCGTCAGCAGAATCCTCACCATGCACAAGTTGATTTTGTCTAGATGTGTTTCAAAGTACTAATTTTAATAAAAATCATAAGGAAGTTGTATTGAAGTAAAAACCGACATTTCACGACTAAACTTCTTACCAATTTACGTATTACTACGATTCAAAATTTGTTAAAATTAAGTTAATCTTAAAATTATGTTTTACCAGTCCTTGCTCAATCTAAATCACTGATCTATTGAGCAGCATATTGCAGTGATGGTGGATTCTCCACTTCAAACATGAGTTGTTTTTAATTATCAATATAAATAATTGCTTTATTTATTCACTAATAAATTAAATTAAGCTGGTATAACTAGCCGTATTTCAGTATGATTTAAAATATTAGCAAAATAAGAATACCTAAGAGATATGATTAATTTGACGCAAATCAACACATTTTTGTATTAAGAAATAACAAAAAATCACATAGAGTTAACTTTAAATTCTAAAACATAACTACTGGCCTTTATTTATTTTTGTTTTAGTACCAACACACTGAGGGTAATGGGTAATTAATGGAATTAAAATGTTATGTAAATGTTCTCGTCAAGTTACCTTCTCAACCTTGGCATCCAGCCGAGTTCATAATTACATGACGCACGTTCCATTATGTATTAATTATACTTTACGGTAAAGACATTTTATAAAAAATAAATTACAAGATGACCTCTAAAATTTAAACATACATATAATATTGAACACATATAATATAAAATAAGAATAATATAAAATACATAAAATATTGCCATGACAACATACTGATTCTTGAAAAGTCCAACAGAGACGTCAGAATGTACAAGTGAATAAAATGGGACTAAAATGTGTGTGGCTGTGTAGCAATGGAGAATTGTAAAATTTATTGAATTCTTCCTATTAAGGAAGAATTTTGAATTTTTAAATGTCCCACGTTAGGGAAAAACAATATTGATATGATAACGACTACCCTGAAAAAAAGAGCAGTGAAGTTTGACAATAAAAAACCGTCGGTGTATGGACTTTTCAAATATCTGTTGATTATATTTTAAGGTGCCGTTCGTACTATGTACTTAGTTAACTTCCAAAGGAAAAGCATAGGAAAATGATGATGATTATGTATAATATATATACCTACTTTCCTGGCGCCATTGCATTATCGATGGGGTATGCTACAGTTGTTCGGTATAAATTATTATTGATTGATGCATCTCGTGACTAAGTCGAAGTAAATTCTTCATACCTTGCAAATTATCATTATCATTTAAAGTGTGAACATCAATATTGTCCAGTTGATATTCCTGACCAAGTGGCCTCTTCAAATGCAGGAAGGTAATATTCTGGTTTTTTTGAGACCCTGTTATTTATTTATTTTTAAAAAATAAATAAAATAAATCTTAATAATTTCCACTGCGTTTCTCAAGAAACTTTCTGCCTCTCATAACTAACCTATACGGTTTTTCCCTTCATCGATCATCAAATCTTCAAGACTTATCGTCCTATCCTCTTTCTTTGCCTAGGTTTACCCTTTTGCCTAAATTAATCTCAATAATTGGTACTGCGTTTTTCAAGAAAGTTTTTGCCTCTCACAACTAATCTGTGCGGTCTTTCTCGATAATCAAATCTTCAAGAAAAGAGCTCACTCGTAGTCGACAACGCTCTTATGACTCCTGTGTTGCAGACATTCATGGGCGGCGGTAGACAGGTGCCGGTTTGTCCAATATTTCATAAAAAATACATTCCTGGTGAGGTTTGGCTTCAGGCGGTCATAAAAGAAACCAACAAAAACTCAAAAACCCCATAACCCAATGTAACATATTGCGCTGACCCCAAATAAAATTGAAAAAGAAGAAAGAAGATTATCATCATGCAAATCGTTAACCCTACTAGTTCTTTACACATGTCCCTAACAGATTTAAATATGCAGGAAGTTTATTTATTTCTTTGTAAACCTATGTAAATGTTATAATTATTTAAATTTATGTCCATTCAACAGGTTGAAGTGGCATTTAAAGATGATATAGCAGTGGTCAATAGTATAAAATTATGTCAGTTGAGGATACACCTCGGCTGTATCGAAAGTGTGAGAGTAAAATACTCTATTGATATGAGGTATCGAGGTGCGCAGTGGTTATTAACAGGAGTGAGGAGATATAGTACGAGTAATGACAGAAATATTGGTTTTCTCGGCCTTGGAAATATGGGTGGTTTCATGGCTGCAAATCTCGTTAAAAAGGTAGGTTTCATTAATAAATGTATATAAATGCCATTTTTAAATTGTTATGTAATAAATTTATATAAAAATAATAATTGTAAAATAATTCAATTCATTAGAATTTAAGTAGAAATAAATTTAGTCCACGTTTTGCCATGTAATGTTAAACTTACAACTCTAAAAGACTAGTGAGGAAAGACTGCCTGTCAGCAGATGACAGGCAGTGACTTAAATAAAACCTCTCTGCAGTTGGAGGCTTCGTTGAAAGATATCAATTGATGATGTAATGATAAAATCGTTTCGTTGTTTTTCGTCAAAGTAAAAAGTGCTTTTACGAGTTGGTTACCAAGATGGTGATGAGTCGTAAAAGTTCTTTGGAATATTTTCATGTTTCAAAGAAAAAAGTGACTTTTGAAAAAGTGAATTAGTTGTTTTTTATTTTAATTTAATTATCTCTTCTTAATTTTGTGTTTTATTTTCTCGTTCGTTACAAGAAACAAACCATTGCTTTGTATAATATATGTTATGCTTTAATAATTTAAAATATTTTTAGACAATCTTTCTGTCGTAGCTACTATTACGCATTAGCACAGCTTATAGAGATTGCTATCTTGACCTCAAACTATTCTATAACATATATATTTTTTTAACATTTTTAATATTTCGGACATCTGACACAGTTTCAAACTAAGCAGAGCTTGTACTATGAAAGTTAGATTGACTGATAGAATACTAATATACTTCTTTTTTAAATACATATATATTATACATAGAAAACACGCAATGTCACAGATTACGATAAAAATATTTTCCTTGAGTACTTTTATAGGTAATAATCCAGCAAAATTTAGAGCAGCGAATTAAGAAGCTAAAGTAGTGCATTTGAGTGAAACGTAAGGGTCACGGCACAAATAAATACATCAATTTATGTATGCCTATTTACATTGTTCCGAGTTTTTATATGTTGAATATGTATGTATTTAGATATAGTATTTAAAAGTCATCGGTATATGCTCACTGGACCTTCGCAACTATGGAGGGACCGGTGTTGTGTCTCTTTACCATAAAGAGAGGATTCACCGACCTAGCAAGTGATCATGCTTTGTAGTCTACGGTCAAACGGTTGATATTTGGATATTATAAATATTTGTGATTATGATGACGTAGTCAACTATTAAACGAAATACAAATATTAAAATAAAATGATTAGATTATGATTGGTCTGGCCAGATCATTGAATAATTGGCGCTTGACGTTATGAACGGCTAAACGAACGACTACTTCTGGGGTGGTCAATCAACAATCATGTCGTAAAATCGTTACAATTTCATGTTAGAGGCGCTAGTATCGCTTTTTAGGGTTCCGTACCTCAAAAGGTAAAAAAGGAACCCTTATAAGATCACTTTCTTGTCCGTCTGTCCGTGTGTCACCACCGATATTCTAAGGAACGGGTAGACCAAGGAAGTTGAAATTTATACCAGATACTGAGGTCTATGATCCCTATTAGGTATATAAAAATCAAAGTCCTGAGTCAACACGATAAAAAGATATGGGCAAATTTCGATTTTCGCGAAAACTTGTAAGTACCAAAATTTACCTTAATTTTCAATTTTTTTTATTTTTCAGAATTTTCTCTTTACTTGTGCTGAAAGACCTTACTTTTAACTAAAATTGCCAGTTCTTGGTCAACCGGAAGTACTCTATAGGTTTTGGGTCGAAAACCTATATTATACTTACGTAAAATCTGGGTAGGTACGGAACCCTCGGCGCACGAGTTAGACTCGTACCTGACCGGTTTTTTTTTATGTATCCATTTTTTACTAAACGAAATTTTGACTTAATCATAGCCTACATTAATGATATCGCTAAGCGTAAACTGACTAAACATTTCATTCTCAAAACTTTTTTGGCTCTACCACAGCTCTATATAAAATCCTTTGACAGTTTGTCTTTCAAATACATGACATTGGAGAAATTGTGGTTACACTCTACCATAAAGCTATTAATTAAAGTTGAAGTTGACTTAACATTAAACGTTGACATTTAAACAATATGGTCCCTTTTATTTGACGGCATTATGATATGATCAAATCAATGAACTAGTTCATCATCATCAACAGCCTTTACTAGTCCACTGCTGGACATAGGCCTCCTCTTAGAAAACTAGTTACGTCAAATAAATTAAAACTAGTTCCTCTATAGTTCCAAGTCTCTTTTTTAAATGATTAAAGTATGTTTTTTCGTTGTAAATGAAAAGGTTAATAAAATATTACTAAAATGAAATCAACTACCGCGTATGTTTGAATCTTCCTATTCGCTACATACAGCCACTAAAAGTTATGTTCAAATTAAGGCTATTACATAAAATATCATGCTTTTACGTTATATTTTTTATCAATAGGTTTTTGTTATTCATAATATCAAAAAATAACATTCCAAAGTCGCTACAATATGAATAAGATATTCATGTTTTACAAATTAATTAAATAAATGCCTAGATTGTAACGACTATAAACAATGTTTTTCTTTTTAATATTCATTGTGGGTTTCGAATTAAATATGATATGGTTTACAATTAAAATACCGTGATTGAATTTCCATGTTTTCTCTCTAAATACAAAGATCATGTACGTATAACAAGGTTTTTTTTTAAATACTTCCTTATGTTGTAGCTGATAAAAGTAATCAAGTCAACTTAGGATGGCATATTATGCAACCCCAGGAAGCAAAAACAGACACTGCTTATATGATCTCGAAGTTTAATGAAGTCGTGAGTCTGATCAATGAAACATAAAACAAGAAAGATCATTGAAACTGATAACTATTAATGTACGTGTAGATTATACGGGTCAATTTTGTTTGACAATAGAAACTTTTGTATGTAAAATTGAGTATGCAATATACAAGACTCTTTTGTCAAGGGACGTCGCGATGGATCATTTCACTCCCCGATAAAAAATTTGTGACCGAACTTAGTCAGACTTCCCTGAAATGAAGGTGTCTAATTGAATATCTTTAATAGCTATGTGTCCTAAATATACATTATTTTAATTCACATTATTTGAGTACAAAAAGAAAGAGAAGAGGAAAAAGAAAGATCTTGTTATTGAGGGTATTTGATTTGTCATTTTTTGTGATACATTACATGTTTTTAAATCTGTCAGATTTTCTGTTGTCCCAGGGTTTCAAAGTTCGCGGCTATGATCCATCTGCAGAAGCTATGAAGAAAGCGGATAAGAATGGCGTCTTTGGAGCAAATTCGGTTGCAGAGGCCATCGACGGTGCCGACGTAGTGATATCCATGCTGCCTGATGACAAAGTTGTACTTGAGACCTATCTCGGCAAGGACGGAGTTATCGAGAGAGTATGTAGATTTTTTTGAGATAAACCTTTTTATTTAAGTATGGGTTTTGTTGATGGCCGAAGAATGGTTTTGGCCAATACGACCTCTTATCGTTCACCGAGAAGTCACGGTCGGAGCGATGTCTAGCATCTTATATTAGGACATTCTCAAAATATAAACGTCAAGACGATGAATCTTATCACAAACTTATTTACATTTCAAGCATTGGTTTATTATTTTTTAAATCACTTTCAATCATTCTTGTTTTTAAATGTTTTCTAAAGATCAACACATTAGAGTTCCCTGATGAATTTTTGGTGATGTAGTTCATTTGATAAAAAAATAATGTTGAAATCTATTTATACATTTTTCGTCTTATTATTTTATTAAAAACAATCTACATCTAAATTAACAGACCCGTAAAGGAGCTTTGCTGATCGAGTCCAGCACAGTGGCTCCGACTTTACCAAGGCAACTCTTTCCCCTAGCTCTCGAGAAAGGAAAAAGATTTACAGACTCTCCTGTTTCTGGAGGTAACACTGAATTCTATATATGGATATCATTCATCACCCATCTATGTTAATTTGCTAAAATAATTCACAAAACGTGATCGAACAGTTCATCAATCACATCAACAGCCTATACTAGTCCACTGCTGGACATAGGCCTCTCCTTAGAAAGTCCGAGGCCCTGTTCTTCCACGGGCTTCGGAGGAAGCCGCCTGAGGGATCTAGCCTCACGGTAGGAGGCACTCGCATCGGCATCGAGCCCTCGATCAGGTATCTGGGGCTCGTACTCGATGGCCGATGGGACTTCGGATATCATTTCCGAGGTCTGGTCCCCAAGTTGGTTGGGGCAGCGCGTGCGTTGGCGCGGCTGCTGAACAACATGAAGGGACCCGATGACTCCTGCAGGAGACTCTACTCGGGGGTTGTGCGGTCCATGGCCCTTTACGGGTGCCCGGTATGGGCGGGGGCCCTGAAGGCCAGCAACGTCGCGATACTGCGACGACCGCAGCGAGTGCTGGAAATCAGGATCATAAGGGGGTACCGCACGATCTCCTTTGAGGCGGCGAGTCTCCTGGCCGGAACTCCACCGTGGGACCTGGAGGCGAGAGCCATTGCGGCTCTGTATCAGTGGCGCAAGGAGGCGCGGGGTTTGGGTCGATGCCCCGAGATTCGAGAAATCGATGACCGGAAATCCCAACTCTGCCAGGTCATCATAGGGGAGTGGAGGGAACGACTCGGGCAACCAAGCGCCGGGCACGCCGTCATCGCGGCGGTAAGACCCGTTATGGAGGATTGGCTCGAGAGGCGTCACGGGACCCTCTCATACCGATTGACGCAGGTGATCACTGGGAAGGGATGTTTCGGGGATCACCTGTGTCTGATCCGCAAGGAGCCAACGCCTGAGTGCCACCACTGCGATGGCCAGACCGTGGACACGGCTCTCCACACGCTGTCAGAGTGCCCGGCGTGGGTTGAGCAGAGGCGAGGCCCGGGAACGGCCCAGGTACCGCAGGCGACTCAGGCGTCGGAGGTCGCAGAACGACCTCCGTCCTCCATAAGCGCAGGCCTGGGGGTGACAGGTGAGGCCATCTGTCACCCTAGCAGAAGCAGGCCGGGGTGGCGGCGAGCGCGTTGCGAAGCGCGCTCGCTTCCAGGGGGCACAGGGAACATGGGGTTCCCACACGGGGGGGGGGTCGTCTACTCGTCTGTAGATGACCCGAGGTATGTCGGGGCACCAGGGACTTCCTTTCTAGGGTATACCTGGTTCCCCGGCTATTAGTACCCGAGACGGCGTGCGGTTTTAGTCGGTGGTATCCGAGGGGATTTCCGCACAGTTAATCGTCGAGAATTTCAAAGTAACTAATTCTAACCTTGATTTTGAAAGTTGTTTTACTAATTTTTATTTTTGGTGTATTTTAGACTTAATTTACTTTTTGGATTTGTACTTTTTTATAGTAAGTTGGACCACAGCCAATTCGTATATCTATCGTCTAAAAACATATGGCGGTCAACAAACCAACAGTATTTAATTGGTTTTAGGTGTCATGGGAGCTGAAAGAGGAACTTTAGCTATTATGTCTGGAGGCCACAAAGAAGATTTTGAAAGAGCCCTTCCAATCTTTAAAGCAATGAGTACGAACCAGTTTTACTGCGGAGATATCGGCACCGGCATTATTGCCAAGCTTACCAATAATTTGATATTATTCATCAATAGTCTAGCTGCCACTGAATGTCTCAATATGGGCATTTCGTACGTACAGTTTAATCTATAGAATAATAATAAAAGTTAGTTATTTCATTCCCTCATCATCACGGAACCTCATGCGCTTGATAAAGAATACAGCCTTGACCAGTTTGTGCTAGACCGTGTCTAGTTCTTCTGAATAAATCCAGAGGTAAATTCGATAACTGCAAATATTTCAAAGGTTTATCTTCATTTCAGTCCGAAAAACTATCGTCATTGTGACAAAATTGTTGGAGAATGAAATTGTCTAGCCTCTTGACATTTCTTGACTTTGTACCTCCTGCTAATGAAGTTAACGCAGACAAACAATTAAAATGGCAAACAGAAACATCTAAAAAATAGAATTTTGTCGATGCCTTCAGAGCGAGGCAATTTTCGAGGTCATAGTCTCTAAGGAAAAGATTTCTAATTAAGTGCCATTAAGATAATTGGGGTAGGATTTTTTTTATTTTAAATACAACTCCAAATTTTTGTATGACAATTTCTTTTTGTCAAATTTATTTACAAATTGATGCTTATACTTCCACTTAACTAATAATATAAAAACCGAACGTGAAATCTTGCGTTTACAATAATTGTTTGATTTGCGGTGATATACTAAGATCACAAACCAGTTATTCGACTTCGATCAACAATCGCGGCAATCTGGTTTTTTGATTATATAAGTATGTATTATAAATTAAATATTATCATTTATTTTAGAGGTCAGAGGTAGGTGATAAAAGGATTTCCATGATAATCTATATCAGTAATATATTAATGTTATTTTAAGACATATATATTCATAAAGGAAATTATTTTCCTTATAATTACTACTCTTGATTTGGCCCAGTTATAGTACTATATCTAGTATAACATGTGTGACGTGTCTTAAATTATTTTTTAGGGCTGGAATAGACCCAAAGCTTCTTCTTAATATTATAAATAGCTCTACTGGTCGGTCCTGGTTTACTGAGGAATACTGTCCGGTTCCTGGCCTGATCCCTACCGCCCCATCTAGCAGAGATTATAAAAATGGTTTCAATAATGACCTTATGGTTAAGGTAAGTATTCGCTTTTGTTAGAAGTTTTGTATGCCTAATATATTTGGGAAAATTCATTTGATGATGGGTAAATTATTTTCACCCCTTTTCTGGACAACGAAAACAGTTGAATCAATTTGGGAACTCGTAGCACAACGGTACACCTGCTACATACATGATAGGCTACGATTGCCCGATTGATTGATTGATTCTTAAAGCCCAAAATCGATCTAAATGGCGTGCAACGGGCGAGGCCTATGTCCAGCAGTGGACTGCGATAGGCTGATGATGATACTTCTTGTGTGCGTGTAGGTATATCTAAATAAATAATTCTAATTTGTTGAAATTGAAACAGAATACCGCTACTACCTATTTTAAATATTAATATTAAATATTCCACACATACTTATATGTTTTACATTTGTTTCCAATGGGCGCATAGAATTTACTTCACGTATTAATGAATAAATGTTTGTAAATGTTAGGTTGTTATAATTATAAAACTCTAGACTCTTTTATTAATTTATTTTTAGGACCTGGAACTTGCATGTGGTATGGCCTTGAACGTCCGATCTCCAGTTCCTCTCGGTGTACTCACTGCCCAAGTGTACCGCATTATGCAAATCCTCGGCTATGGACAAAAGGATTTCACCTACCTCTACCAAATTATGAGAGGCGAGGCTTCAAAACTTAAGAATTAAGTTAAAATTTTAGATACGCCCCAATATATTATTAGTCAGTTATACTCGTAGACACACTTTAACACAGTCTGTTCTGCGTGTGTCTGGGTCAGACGCATGGACCTTGCTAAAAATTATAACCTGACTATAATTAATTATACTTTGACATAAACATCTTTGAAATATTTGAAAAGCTTGTGGCAAAAAGATTGAATTATTTGATTATTTAAATTAACTTAGTAAGTAAGTTTAGAGTTTGCTTAATTTCTTATGAGTTAGTTTTTAAGTTTAAGGCAAGACGAATAGAGAAATTGAAGATCAAATATGTCAAATAATTATATGTACAATGTTGTTGGTCTCACAAACTTATTTCTTGATATTAATGTTTTCTTTGTAATCATATTTATGACTGTTTTATTTTCCCAAATAAATAAATAAAAATAACTCAAATACATAGGCTTATCTATGGCGTTATTTGGTTCTACATTTGTCTTGGGTGGGAATCGAACCTCCGGTTTGCGGTTAAAAACGCGGTTATTGGGTAAAATACTCAATGAATTATAATGGAACATATAGTAGAATAGTAGCTGATTTTTGTCCGTGTGGCGATGGATTAAGAATACGGAGTATCACCACCCCTATTCATCCAGTGGGTGCCTTAAGAGGCGACTATGGGAACAAACTCTGCAGAATAAGAACGCCGCAAAGAGAAGGAAACCAACCCTGTACCAACCCGTCTGACTAGCATAGTATAGTAAGCCAAACCTATTTTCTAAGGAGAGGCCTATGTCCAGCAACGGAATTTTAGGGCCTGTTCATGATGATTATGAGCTAAAATTTTATCCATAAGTATTAATGCTGCACGTGGTTTAAGAATGCTTTACAAAATACCTACAACTCGTCGAGTTAGACAATACTCTTTCCAACCATTCAAACTGTTAAAACAGTTACCAGAATTATACGCCCTATTGGAACCACTCATTCTCCAAAGTATTTCTTTAACAAATAATAAATCAAATCCCATTTCCAGTTCAATAGGCTGCGACTTATAAAGACGAAGCTTTAAAGTGAGTGTATACCCAAGTGTCCCAATCATTTTATACCATCTTATCTCACACGTAAATATCAATGAACATTCCGAATGCCTATTATATTCAATACACTTGGTTTAATATTGAAAATTGAATATTGATCAGTTAAGAGTGATTTTGAAATGCAGATTCTTTTTTAAAAGTTAAAATTTTCAATTTCTTCTTATTTTTATGTTAATTCTAATACGAGTAGAAGGTTGTTTATTATGTTTTTTACAGCAGTGTTTAAATTATTTTAGTTAAACTGACTTTGCCTCTCTCAAAATATTTTCTTTTCCAGTTTTTGCAACATTTTTCTTTGATACTCGCCTCCTATTAGCCGTAGCATGATGTTATATAGCCAATATAATTCGTCGAAATAAGGACTATCCAACACTAAAATACTTTTTCAATTTTAAACCAGTATTTAGTGATATTACCCCGAACATACAAACTACCTCTTTAAAATATTAATATTGACTAGCTTTGCCCGCGGCTCCGCCTGCGTGTATATTGGTTATCGCTTTGAAAAAGGTAGTATATACTCGATGATAATAAATCTTTCCATTAGTGAAAGTATTTTTAAAATTAGTTTAGTAGTTTAGGCGTGAAAGCGATAGAAACATGCAAAAAAACAGTGGCAATTTGGTAGTGCCGACAGCAGTAAAAACTTGAAAATTTGAAATTTTTTGATTATAACAGGATTTTTTTTTTGTTTTCGATTCGACATGAATATTTATCTATGTTGTACGTATATACATAATATATGTTTATATTATTTTTAGTTATTTTGTTATGTTTATGTATAATATATGTAGATACTTATATACAGAGGTGTCGGTAACGGTAACACTATGGCGAGTTCAATGGTTTTTTCCCTTTAAAAAAAAAACATTCTTTTGTTTGTTGTTCAAAATACGAAGCTCACCTTTAGAAGTTTTTACTTCAAAAATCACTTTCACATTTATAATATAATAATATAATGGATTCACTTCCACAGATGAAATATTTGTATTGGAAGTTTCAATATATATATATAGAAAACCTGTGTTAAGCAATTCTTTCGTTTCCTTTCACTGAGTGACCGGAGCCCAAATCCCCCCTCCCGCTGACTCGAGCGGGAAGGACTCCAAGGGCAGCAACGCACTTGTGACTTTTGAATTGCAGGTTGTCCATGGGCGGCGGTAGTTGCTTACCATCAGGTGACCCGTCTGCTCGCCTTATACCACAAGAAAAAGAACTATTATAATCTATCATAACTTTCATTGAAGCTTAAACTAATAAAATAAACCAAGCTTAAATAAAATTCAACCAAGACCTTTATTAATCTACATTTTATAACTAGGTTTATTCTTCTAAGCTGTTTATATTTATGCTTAATTCTTACAAATATGTTATAATTCAAAAACTAGTTGAAACGTCACTAATACAGTGTGACCCATTACTGCTGCTAGAATGCTTCACTTCTTGGAAAAGACCCCTACCAAGTCCGTAAATAGTCAGGTATCAATCTCCACACTCACGCGTGGAAAAAATGTATACACTATATAAGTGCTTTTCTATATTAAGTACTCCGGTTATTTCGATTGGGCGATAGCCCTAGATGTCAATACTGTACTGCTAACTACAATACCATCCGCGCCAACGGACAATACGATACATAAAATATAATTAACATATCTATATCTATCTAATCTAAAAAGAGTTTCTGTGCATTGACAAGGATATCAACTGCGACATGGGGTCTATCATTTAATACATTAAAGATCATATACGGAGCTACTTATTTAGGTTCTATATGCTATGGTGCACCTGTATGGGCCGATAGGGCGACCGTAGGCGCTGTCCGTCGCAAACTGTTACAAGGCCAACGACTTGCACTGATATTCTTGTGTAAGGCATATAGGACGGTTAGCACTGAGGCTTTGCCGGTGTTGGCGGGTGTGCTTCCGGTCGATCTCGAGGTGCAGAGACGTGCAGCCATGTACTATTCAAGACAACAAAACATGGAATGCGATTTTTTGGGCGCGCGGGAACGCGGTAAAATTACAAGATTGCTTCAACAGCAGCCCGATGTCTATAATGACCTCATAGACGAATGGCAACAACGCTGGGATGAATCATCCAAGGGGCGCCATCTTTACCAATTCTTTCCATCTGTTCGCAAACGGTTGTCGAGGATATGGCTTGAGGTGGATCACTGTGTCGCTCAACTTCTTACGGGTCATGGTAACTTTAAGAGCAAGCTTTATTCATTTAAATTAGTCGAGTCACCATTGTGTCAATGCTCAACACCTAACTCTCACTATGAACAGTCTGCTCATCATATCCTCTGGGAATGTAGTCTTTGGTATAATGAACGTAATATAATGCTGAATAGCTTGCAGGTGACATCTGGGGCGGTATACTATGGGGATCTTGTGTCAACTAGGGTGAATTTCCGTGCGTTTAGGCGATTCTGCCATACATATTTTAGAAATCAAACATAGCTCACGTAGGACCCGTAATATTTGTGGCCGTGGTGCTTCCCTGTTTTAAAGGGTGTATGCCCTTTTTACTTCATTTTGTCTCCCGCTTTGCTAAGGAGGGAAGTGGATTTACTGTATTTCCAACTCCTCCAATTTTCTTCTGATTAATTTCGTTGTGGTTTCCAAGACAGTTTAATTTCTTCCTGGGACTTCCCGAGTGTCATAACTCGGTGTGTTCGTGGGTCACTGCTGTGGATCCTGGTGTACAGGAGTTACAGTGGTGGGCGTGTGGGTGGGATTAGTCCCATATCTACACGAAGTTATGGGGAGTGCTCAGGGTACTTGTATTAACTTATAAAGACTGCAGCTCCCCATCATCACTGAATACGACAAAAATACCATCCCGATTACTTGGATAATTGATATTCCACGAACGTGAGCTACTCACGAAACTTTTTCTTGCACAACCACCCTGAAAGGAATGTAGTCTCTCCTCAATGCACTAGTGAATTGTGTTTTATATGTCCATGGGTGGAGGTTAACTACCTCCTTAGGGAATCTATGTGTTTATTTTGTCTCCTATTACATTAATGAAAAAAAAACAAATGACAACTCTTGATGTGAGAAATACTACCATAGACCACCAATCAACCGTGTGTTTTTATTAAATTCAATTTATTGAATTTTAATGAGATCAAATTAATTTTATTATATTCTCTTTTTGATAAAAAAAAGAAAAAAATATTTTTTTTAGTATACAATATGCAATTAATACGTACAATTCAAGTCAGATCATATAACCCGCTCCGCGTCGCTCCCGGTGCAAAGGTGCCCATGATACTGGAGCATTACCTCGCTGAATTGCAACGGACATCCTTTGCACCAGAAACGAGCCTGTGCATAAGTCACCACTTTTATCCCTAACTCGGCGACCAATCTCCGCAATTAAATCTTTAGCTTCCGACCCCCAACTGCCCAAAGTCTCCACCGCAATGGGCACAAAATAATAATGCGTCTCCATTGCGGTGTATTTTCTCTTCGTAATCTCTTGTAAAACATTAACTAACAGTAAACTTATCGAATTGTTATATTCTCTCTCCTTAACTCACTTTCACTATTAATCGCTTTATTGAACGTTCGAACAAAGACGGGGTCTATTCATAGTATAGCCTATTGTTACCATTCGGTCCCCTCGAAGCGAAACCTGTCTATAAAATACAGCAGCACATATTGATTCAAAATTGAAATTTGAATCCACCCGTTGATTAGAATCGTAACGGGCGGCCGCGCTGTGACTCGAATAAATAATCGATTCGGTATGGAACGATTTAATCGTGTATTACATTTACAAGTATGGAAAATAACGAATATGTATATTTTTTTTGAAAACAAGCAGGTTTTGATATTTTGCATTCGTAACGATTCGAATATCAAATCAGTTAGTACTCATTTGTTACTCAGAAAATAGAGTAGTCAGATACTT